GCTCAAAGCCTTATAGAAAAATTGAAAACATATGTTTCTTGTAGCTGAGTTACCTCCTCCTAGGTCATTGTTGATCGGTCAATCATGACGATTGACCCGAAGGCTTGCAAAGAGTATTTTGGACCCATCCAAATCGAGCATAAAGAATAAAATAATAGAAAATAGAGGGAGCAAAGAGAATTAAAATGAAAAGGAAGTAAAATTTTAACGTCAATCCAATCCCTAACACTTATATATAGGGTAATAGAAGAAGCAAAACCATCACAATTTATACAGTAATTTAAAAAATATGCTAACATAAATATCGCATATACCAAATATTCGAGAAGAAACAATAAATTTTATTCCAAAATCGAGCATTATAAATTGCACTCAGAAACTAGCCCAAGAGAAAACATGTTACAAGGGATCATTTGTCGCTTCAGCCTAAAAATCTCTCATCAAAATTGTCTTTTATACAAAAATTCTCCCTCAAATTTAAACCGGTCCACCTAACCCTTCTTATCTTGAGCTCGTTGTATGAGTGAATTATACTGGACTTCCAATAGTTTCAAGAAAAGGGTGACCATCTCTTCCTCCGTCCTTTTCACTTTCTCTACATCAGCCAACAGCTCGTGCATCTTCATGGATCTCTAATTATTAACTATTAATAAAAATGTTTAATGATAATAAAAATGAGGAATGATCCACTAAAATCAATATTAAATGTTAGGATATAATATTTGGTGTTACTAGATTCACTTTTCATGTGCTTGGAGTTTAGAGAGTTTTAATTTGAGGAAGGATTCAAAAGTACAAAATCAAAGACTAGGATAATTGATAACTTCTTTCATGAAGATTATAAATTAAAAAATAAATTTACTTGAATAAAGATTTCAAGAAGTGCATTAAAAATAAGATGTGTGAAAATTAGTTTTATATCTCTCCTTATTAGTAATGTCTTTTAAAAAATGATAAAGATAATGAAATTTTTATTAAGAATATGATGTGTGAAAAATAGTTTTAAGTTATCTTATTGATAACATCTTATCAAATATGATAAAGATAATAGTATTTTTATTAAGATGCTTGGCTTAATTGAATATGAGAAGACCTTTTTATATCCATGGGCTATCAGAAGATATGTCGCTAAGAAGGTTAAAAATAATATTATGCAATGTTGGGTGATACACCAAAAATATATGCATTTTTAGACCCATATTTTATACTCATTTTTGGTGATATTACACTTTAATGGAAGGTATTTTTTATGTTTTATTGCAGGTTATTGATTTTGAGGACTTGGCAAAAAGAATAAAATTTGGAGTCAAATGGAGAAGTTAAAAATTTGATCAGCGTCGATGGCAATAGACTTAGCGCCGACGGCGCCGTTTGACAGAGATGAAGGAATTAAATAGATGGCCTCTGACACCAGGTGCAGAGCCTGTTCCTAGAAGATTCGACGAATTTTGATGCTTATTGAAGAGTTTTTGGATCCAACTATTGGAGAACGGACCTAGGCTCTATTTAGGGCAGAAATTTGCTCAGAAACCCCCCCACCCCTTCGCACCATTTCAACTTCTTCCACTCATTTTCAATTTTCCTCTTCACACACCTAAATTCCACGTCATTCCACCCAATTAGTTAGTTATTATTTTTATAGTTTTGAGTTTTTGTGGTGAGTTTAAGTGTGAATTCTTCTCTAAGAAGTGTTGGAGAGGAAGAGAAGTGAGAGATTTCTTCTTCCTACATTTCCTAAGAAAGGTTACAAAGGATTTGCTTTGAGAAAGAGTTTTAGATAAGTCTTGTTTGTTTATTATTATTGTATGAACTTTCTTTTATATATGAAATTTGTGTTTTTTTGTATATTTCTCATAAAGTCTGAGTAGATTCCTTTATCTCTCTCCCTACTCTGAGATATGGTGAAATGAAGAGATAATTTGGATGTACCAATGTTAAAATTTAAAATAAATTGTGATGGTTTTTCAACCTCGCTCTTTATTTACTTTTTAAGCTGACCAATTGAATTGTTAAAATATATGGTGAAATAAATGATCCGGGAAATGGAGTATGAGTTCTACAAGAGAGGGAGAATCACATTTAAGTCCATGAAGGAGCATTTCATTCATGGAATTAACTGCAAATAAAAAGGAAAATATACTGTGTTGGGTGTAGAATTGGAGAATTCTAGGGGGACAGACTAAAAATCCCCAATTCGATCTTAAGGTTTAAAAACTAAAGCGAGAGTTAGCCTTCAGGAGATGGGAAGTGGGAGGCAGTATCCTCCTAGCCTAGCCACGGATTTTGGGGCTAAACCTAAGATTAGCCAATGGTTTTTTAGAATCAGGGTAGAGAATTAAAATTGCTCCTATTTGGCACAATACATACTTAAATCATTTATCTCATCTCATTTCACAAAAAACTCATTTTAATGATAAATATGCTTTTTCATATCATAAAACTTCATCACAGTTTAGTAGTTATTAATTTTAAAACCTGTTTTAAATTCTGCTAGTAATAAATACTTTAGCTTTGATAGTATCTTAACATTCAAAATTAGTAACAGTAATTTCGTTTTATTTCTGTAAATTTCCTAATTAATTTATCATTTCAAATTTAAACCTTCCCTGTATGATCAATATTTGGGTCTTAAATAGAAAGTCTTATATTACTTGATAACGATACGTATAATTACGTAAAATCTCTTAAGAACCTAACATTATTATTACTAAAATACCGCATCAAGTTTTTGGCACCGTTATAAACCGGAGTCAACTTATAAATTTTACACAACTATATTCAACCAGGATCATTGGGTCATTATGTTAATAAAATTGTCTTAACACAATAGCTTGTTATAAATTATATCAAGTTATTAATGTAATAGGCTTTTGATGACTTTCTTCAGTTAGAGATAAAATATTTTTAGTTATATGGACAGTGCACACTAAAAAAGTTGAGCTAGAAAAGGATTAAAGTGTTAAATAAAGATTTTATTAGTGTTGATAGATAAAGATGTAAGTATTATGGAAAATATTACATTTCAAAATCTAGTTTATGCAGTAGATTATTATTATTATTGCTAATAAATTACATGTTATTTTGAATTTTTGTTTCTATAGGATTATTTACCATATGATGGTGTATATGGCTAATAAGATTTCCTTAACTTTATTATGCATTCTCTTACTCATCATATCCTAATTTGAGTAAGAAGAAGGATGTGAGTGGCACTAGTTTCAAAGAGAAAAAATTGAAGGAGAAGAAGTTCAATCAGTTACAAATCAATTCATACTTATTTATACAAGGCTAAAGTTGTATTTTGTTATTATAAAAGGTCTAAAGAGTGACTAGTTTGTTGTAGAATAATCAAATAAAGTTAGCGCAAAAATTTGATACTCTAGCTAATCTTATTTAAAATTTTCTATATAAAGAGAAAAAGGAAAGGGAGGAAAACAATAAGGGTGTATTTGTTATTAAATCATAAATTTATTTTATTAGGGATATGAATTAAGAAGAACAAGGGAATTGTATAAGAGGTTAGAGAAGATATAGGATATTGACAAGTCACTTGTTATAGTATAAAGGAAAGAATTGTTAGCTATATTTTGCTATTACGAATAGAAGTGAGGCTAAAGAATATGATAAATTTGATTAACTGATAAAGTTTTCAAGGGACTCAAGCTCATGGATCTATATTTCATTGATCCTCTTAGCTTAATTGATGAAAAAAAAAAAAAACTTGCCTCCTTCAATTCTTGGATATCTTAATTTGTTGAAAATATTAAAGAGAGATATGAGTGCGCAGTGGAAGCATGAGATGATATTAACAATAAAATAATTTTATAATATGGCTGGATTGTATGGTGATAGATCTAGTACTTGATTAGTAGTACGAGTTCTTGAATAACTATTACATTCTCAATTTAATTTTGCTATAGCACATAGATTCTTATGTTACTCATACGACTTGCCATTTGACCTGTTGGTGCTAGTACTAGTTAAAGGCAAACATATCAAGAACTATCATATTGAATGAATTATTTACTCAATTATGTATGACAATAATATTTAATTAGAAGAAATTAAAGAGGAAGGACTCTCTCAAGAAAAGTCTCTAATGTATGTCATAGGAAAGAAAGAAAAAAATCAAATATATTATGCAAATATAACACTTATACTTTTGTTATAAATTTTAAAAAAAAGTATGTTAGATGATATATAAGATCTCTTATCTGAAATTATGTAGGCAATGATGAGTTCATTCTAGAGATGCTTAGTTTACTTTAAAGGTAATAGTTGTTTGAACCAAGAAGTTTTCTTCCTTCAAATTTCTTGGAAGTGGAAGAGGGCAAATATGGATGCGGTTCAAATTCTACCTTATGATTTAATATTTTAAAATTAAGAAAATTAAATAAGTTAGATTATATTCTTACATCTACGATGATGATTTTCTTACATCTTATTAAAGTGGAGACAAGAGTACAAGTTATATAACACATCATACATCAAAATTAAGAAGAAAAAAATGTACTTGAAGTTATAACAAATTGCATACAAGTTATCCATGAATGTTTATGTGTAGACTAATTTCAGGGCAATGTTGATCTATGAGTATAAAAAAAATATGGAATTATTATAATAAACAACTTTGTTTTAACTCGGCTATTATTTAGCCAATAAATAATAAAACCCCTGAATTCCTCCTACCCTTGACAGCACGCAGAAGCTAATCGTGCTAGGTGAAATAGGAAGCAGCCGTCCAAACGAACATTAGTCTCCTCCAACATGGTCAACTAAAGCTCCTGATACGCCATCCTTTCCTCTTAGCTTTCTCCATCTTCGTCCTCAATATAACACAATCGAATGAAAGCTTCGTTCCAATTCGACACTCTAACATCACAGATATCCCAAAAATCCAATTTTGTTCACCTCCCAATTCTCAAAATCAGTTTTTTTTGTTTTTTTAATTTATTTTGCTATTCTGTCCTTCCAGAACCATAAAAATTCACTGATTTAATTTTTTTCTTATTCTGTCCTTCCAGAACCATAAAAATTCACTGATGGGTGACAAAAATCCGTCTTCCGCCCTCGGCAACAATACCGATGTCTCCACAACCACCGCCAAAATAAACAACATTGCCATGGTGCTTACATTAGTATTCGTCTTCCTCGTTTTCATCTTTAGCATATTGCTTTACATCTATACCCACAAAAGCTTGATAGGAAGGTCCACAACCCGCCGCCGCCGCGCGGCACAAACCCATTTGATCTTCGCAACCGGCGACGCCCCAATTCCCACACTTGGCCTCAATCCTTCCATCCTCCTCTCTCTTCCCATCACTATCTACCGGCCGAATGATTTCGAAGAAAGTCTGGAATGCGCCGTTTGTCTTTCAGAACTCAGCGACGGAGAAAAGGTTCGGCGGCTTCCGAATTGTAACCATGGCTTCCATCTAGAATGCATTGACATGTGGTTTTACTCCCACTCCACTTGCCCTCTTTGTCGTTGCGCTGTCGGGTTGTCGGAGTCAGCCGGTTCAGATACAGAGTTGGCTATTCCGATTCCAGATCGGTCGACAGAGATGTATCAGCTGTCTCTGCCACGGTTGAATTCGAGTAGGTCTCAAGTGGAGGAAATGAAGACGTTTGATGCGGAGAGATCGCCGGCGAGGTTAAATGTGGGATCTTTGAAGAGGATTATGAGCGGAGAAAAGATGGTTGGAGGCTCGTGCTGCAGCAACCATGGGGTTTGTGATATTGAGCAGGGATTGATGGGATGTGGAGAGGTAAATGGGGTAGGAAGCTCGGTTCTTCCAATAAGGGAAAAGGGGCTTTCCTAACCTGTTTTTTTTTCTAGGGAAATTTATTTTATAGGAGGGAATTCTTATGTATTTTTTATTTCTGGTGCGCAAATTTTTATATCTATGCACATAATATTTTGATGTTTTAAATTTATGAATAAAAAATATTTTTTTAAAAATTATAATAATACTATTTGATGTGGTATTAAAAATTAACGTGTTATATTTAAAAGTATGAAAATTTAGGTGTGTTTAAATATGGAAGTTATGATATAATAAGATTTTTTTTTCTATTTATGCCCCTCAAGTAGCTTTATAGATTTTTTTTCTATTTATGCCCCTCAAGTAGCTTTATATATAGGTTCTTAAGATAAATTCTGGAATGACTTGAAAGAATTAATACAAATGATACCTTTTGAAGAAAGAAGTTTTATTGGAAAAGATTTAAATGGACATGTCGGTAGAGTGGTAGAAGATTTTAGAAATATTCATGGTGGCTATGGTTTTGAGGTGGTTAATGAAAAATGTAGAGATATAGTAGATTTGCTTTAGCATATAATTTTGTTATAGCCATTACGTTATTCAAGAAAAGAGATCAGCATATTATTACTTATAAGAATGAATCTAATAAAATACAAATTAATTTTTTCCTAATAAGAAGAAGAAATCGTTGAGAATGTATGGATTGGAAGGTCATCTCAAGTGCGGATTTAAGTAGTTAACATAAATTATTAGTTCTAGAATTTAAGATAAAGAGTTGTTAGATAAAGAATTATAGGAATCATTATCCGTAAGATTAGATGGGGACACCTAAAAGACACAAATAAAATTATTTTTATGAGTAAAATTCAACATTTCAAAATTTGGGATGCTCATGAAGAAGCCAAGTCTATGTGGGATAAAGTAACAAACACAATGAAACAAGTGGTAAAAGTTGTATTTTGAGAATAAAAGAAAAGTTTTTATAAATAATAATTGTTGGTGGTGGAATAAAAATGTGCAAGAAAAGACAAATATAAGAAGTTATGTTATAAAAATTGGTTTAAATGTAAAAACTTAGAGAATTGGGAAAAATATCAAACAGTTCGTAGGGAGTCTAAGAGTACATTCTGTGATGCTAAAAATTCTGCTTTTAGTGATCTTTATAATAGATTGGATACTAAGGAGGGTGAATAATATATGTATAAACTAGCCAAACAAAGAGAAGAAAAGTAAAGATTTAACTCAAGTAAACTGTATTAAAGATGAAAATCAAAAAGTATTATTCTTAGAAAAAGATATTCAAAATCGGTGGGTGAGATATTTTGATAAACTTTATAATGAAGTTTCAGAAAATAAAATCTATTTTAGTGATCTTAATATCATTAATAATAATAAATTATTTCATTTTTACCGTCGCATTAGTAGGAAAGAAGTTGAAGATGCTTTAAAGAAAACGATGCGTGGAAAGTCTGTAGGACCAGATGATATCCTAATTGAAGTGTGGAAATATTTAGGAAATTTGGGAGTTTCTTAGCTTACTAAACAGCTTACTAAACTCTTTTTAATATTGTTTTAGAAACTAAAAAAATGCTTGAGGAGTGGAGGAAGAGTATTTTGGTCTCCATTTTTAAGAATAAAGGGGATGCACAAAAGTGTGCAAATTATAGAGGAATTAAGTTGAGATGTCATAATTTAAAATTAAGGGAGAGGGTAATTGAACACACAAGTTAAGACGTATTATAAAGATTTCTCATAATCATATTGGATTTATGTCAGGCAGTTCTATTATGGAAGCTATATATTTATTGAGAGCTTTGATATAAAAGTTCAGAGATAATAAGAAGGATCTACATATGATTTTATTGATTTAGAAAAGCTTACGATAAGGTTCCAAGAGATATCATTTGTAGAGTTTTTGAGAAGAAGTCAGAGAAGAAAGGTGTTGAGAAGAAAGGTGTTGATATGACTTATACTCAAATCATTACAAAGATGTATGCAAGAGTTGTTACCTGTGTTCGAACAGAAGGAGGATTGACTTAATATTTTCTTATTTCTGCTGGTTTACATCATGGATTAGCTTTAAGCCCATATCGTTTTGCTTTAGTTATGGATTATCTTACTGGACACTTATAGGAGGATGTACCTTGGTGTAGCTTTTTGCTGGTGATATCCTTCTCGTGAATAAGATGAGAGAGAAAGCTCAAAATAAACTTGAATTATGGAGGTCTACACTGGAGTCTAAATGCCTTCATTTGTGTAGAACTAAAATTGAGTACTTGGAGTGTAATTTTAGTAGTAGTAGCTCTAGTTACAAAAATGTAACTATGGGTGATCAAATTATTAAAGTGAACGGTTTAGACATCTAGGGTCTATCATATCTCAGGTCTATTGTTCAAAGTGGTGACAATATTAAAGGGGATTTTATTAGTAGAATTCAAGTTAGTTGGCTGAAGTAGTGGAATGCTTTGGGTCTATTGTATGATAGAAAAGTACCACTTAGATAGAAAGGAAAATTTTATAAGACTGGTGAGACCTGCAATGCTCTATGGTGCTGAATGTTGGCCTTTAAAAGTAAAGCATAAAACTAAGTTAAGTGTTGTCGAGATGAGAATGCTTAGGTGGATGGGTGGCTTTACACTTGGAGACAAAATGAAAAATAAATATATCTGTGATAGCATTTGTGTTGCTCCAGTGACAGATGAAATTAGATAGAGTCGTCTTAGCTGGTTTGGTCACATTAAATGTCGACCATCTGATGAACTGATTAGAAAAGTAGATGTGTTAGATTCGACTTATGTTAGGAAATGCAAAGGTAGAGCTAGGATGACTTGGGCATATTGTATAAAAATGATATTAATTTATTAGAATTAAATGAAAATATGACACTTAATAAAACGCAATGGAAAAAGGGATTTATGTGGCCAACCCTACTTAATGGGATAAAATTGTTGTTGTTGTTGTTGTTATGTTGGTTTGGTTTATATATTAATATTAATATTAATATTATTGAGACACCATCAACAACTTCTTTCAACCATCATGAATCTAGAGACAATTTTTCAAACTTCATTTAAAAGGCCACCAGAGCTCCAACTTCAACAAACTTACAGTCAAATTGACCGACTCAACGAGATGGGCCCAATGATATTAAAATCAGTTTAATTCGAGTCCAATCAAGCTCAAACCAAGTCATTAAACCACACTTGGAAGCTTTCCAAGCATAATTAGAAGGTCAAACAACTATCTACCTTGATAAACTTATAGTTGAATCGAGCATCTTATTGAGATAAATCTAACGAGCTTAAGATAACTCAGTTCTAATATCATTAAGGCACTCAAATATGCATCAAAAGTCATCTAATCAAGAGAATCTCTCCAGACTACCCAATCAAAGTGATTCATACTAGTATTAATAGCACTTAGACTCTATAAATAAAGCCCCACTCCTCTCTTGAGCAGGGGGAAGAGAGCTTGAGGTTTGAGGAAGAGCTTGTCGCTTTGAGAAGGAGCTGAAGTCCAGCATCAATTCCGTCATCGACCACCACCAATCATTGTCGACCACCACCGATCGCTGTCGACCACCGCTGACTTCATTCAACTACCTTTGACCACCGCAGACCTCCGTAGACTACCGCCAACCACCGTTGACCATCGCCGACCACCACCGACCACTGTCGACCACCGCCGACCAACGTCGACCACCACCTGCCTATTGCCACCAATCATTATTGTTTGTAGCCCGTTCCTTGTAACAACTTGATCGCACGTCAACGTGTAACTCGGAAGACTTTGTAACTCTTT